CCTTCGCTGCTTCTTAGTCGGCTCGGCGTTGGTGCTGCTGGCCTCGGTATTACTGAGATCAATGGGCCCAGGGAAATGCTCGGACGGTTGTCGGTAGTTGCGAACAGAGGGACCTTGTTCCAGATCGTCGGCCAGCACTTCGAACCGGTTTTCGGCCAGCGGAGGTCCGAATTGCGAGCGCTGAGGTGATACCGGCCTAACCGGCTGGGAGGCCCCCGACCTAATTGCAGGCCGCAAGGCGGGGGTAGGGGGTCTTTCCTTCCTTCCATGGGATGACACCGAGGTCTCTCCTCAGCGGGAAGGAAGTTCACTTCGGCGGTGAGGCTTGGTTGGCTGCGCAGCTGGATGTCGGGGAGGAAGTGAAGGAAATTGTTGCTGATACTGGTACTGGGACACTTGGTGCAGCACTTGCTGCTGGCGGAACTGAAGTTGCTGGAACTGTTGCACTTGGGCCTGCATGGCTCGCATGCACTGCATCAGGTCTTCGAGCTGACCTTGGCTGGCCACTGGAGGGAGGATGGTGGGTTCAGCGAAGGTTGTTCCAATGGCAGAGGGTAATGGAACGGTCACGGGTGCCACCGTCAGGGGCACATTCAGACTAGGTACCCCCTCCACGGAGAGGGGGACGATGAACTGCCCGATGCAGACGGTGGGTAGCTGGAGTTGTTCCTCTGGGGTGTTCCGGCGTCCGGAGTTGCTGGAGGAAGCCATGGTGATGATGAGTTCTTTGAGGGAAGTTTCACAGAAGTTAGAGGAAGGCCTTTTGAAGCATTCCCCACAGGCGACGCCAAATGATGCAGCACAATCTGGTCACTCCTAGCTGGCTGAGACTTGGCTCCTAGCTGAGACGGACGACACCTGAGAGGAAGAGGAAGGTGAAGGGTTCCCGGGGAGCTCTCCCGGCGGGAACACTCCAATGGCTAAGTTAGAACTCTTGAGGAAACTCAAAGAAGACACAGAGAGTTAAGAGTGCTATCTTCAATACCTTTGCTTTGTGAGGATTGGGATCCTTACTAGAGCTCAGTCACATCATTCGTAACCGCCACTGCCCTAGCCATTATTGCTAGGGCAGGGGTGGCAGGTACAGGCTGCTACTGCAAGGTATGGACTCGACAGGTGTGCCATGCTTTTCAGAGACGGCAAGCAGAACGCCGCCTGGTAAGGGATCCGAGCACTGCCACCGAATCCGGTAGGTACAGATGTCTGGTAGATCTCCCTACAGTCTGCCGAGCTACCGTATACTGAACCATTTGGGGCAGATTTGCCTTGCACCGAGGTGCCCGCACGAGCTTTAAGCAAGTTCGAACAAGAGTCTCGACGGTGCTGCCCCGAGGTGTTTCTCCCTCGGGACACTTAGCCAAAAGCCGGGGTGCTCCCTTCTTAGGAAGGGAGAGCTCGGGTCCCCTCGCACGAGGGAGCTCGGGGAGCTCCGCCTTCAGGCTTGAGGCGAACTGAGCCTTGCTTCTCGACGGGTTGTCACACCCGCCGAGTCGTTTGGTCGGGCTTCGACGAGCTTGTTACGCCAGATTGTGGCCAGACTGTCACGCTGAGTTGCCGCTTATGCCAGGTCATATCCACGTGTCCCCGTACTACGAGGTTGGGCCAAATCCCCCTACATCACACACGATTTCTCTAATTTTCGAGGAATCAATGATCTCAAAAATCAATGAATTTTAGAAAATCTCATAAGAAGAATAAACATTGATCCCAAACATCTATAATTTCACTTTCCTTGGATTTCACGTTCTTTCTTCCCCATGAGCTCTTGCAAGGCTGTGGGGAAAGCTATACCAGTCTGCATGCCAAACCTAATCACTCTTCAGGCTTTAGGTACGTAAATAATTTGTGTCGAGAAACAATCCAACTCAACTCATAATCTTTTCTGCAGCGAAGTGGGGACTACTGAAAACACGTTTGGCATGTTTGACTCGATTTCACATGCATTACACTAATTAGGGACAGAGGTTTTTTGCATGCAATCTGTGCAAACTTCAAAGGCAGCACATGCAACGTGAATAATTGTCCACGGTATTGACCCACCTTATGCAGCTTCTCTACGTGCTCTTCAGTATAGGTCAACAACCATGGTTAATAGGCCCATAATTATACAATATCTGCGTGCGCTAGCTCTCACCAAAATGAAATAATATTTGTTTTGAATGACCGGATCACTGGTTCAACAGTTCAACTTTGTGGATAAATGGGTCGTCATCCAAACCGGATCAGGCAAGGGCTCATTTGGAGTGTCTTTTTGCGTGGTTTTTCAGCTATTTATAAGCTGTGAAGATCGAAAATCGGTCTATTTCTGTTTGGCACACAGGAGATCTAGCCGCCAAAAGACGGGACAATGAAAAGATGCGAGAAGCCCATTTTGAGCTGATTTTGGGAAGCTCCAAATGAAGCTTCTTGCATCTTTTGCATTTTAATCTCGCATGGAAAGACCTAAAATGATGCACAGAAAGATGTACACCTACCAAACGGTCTTCGGGTTGCTCAGATCTTATATCAAAAGCTCAATACATTTTTTGACTATCAAAGCTACAAAAAGACTTTCCAAACGGGCCATCAGCATGGCAACATTGCCTATATTTTGTGCCTGCTTTCTAGGGTTGTAAGTTGGACCCAAACCTAGCGTGACAAATTAAGTTTGGATTGACATTTATGTTAGAATTATGGTTGAAAAGTACGGACTTTACTTATTGGATTAAGGTGGATGCCTTGGGCAACCACACCCAACCACCAAATCTGATTTTATTTGCATATATAAATACGTATTAATTATGGATATAATTAATTACTTATATTTACTATTCATGCATGTATGCATATGCAGCTATGTATTCATATACGTATATATGTGTGTTTATTTATTTATTTTTTCATTCCAAGTATTTATATATATACTTATTTATCTATATATACATGAACACATGTATATTAATTGTATGTCAAACATTTTCAGTTTAAATGCATTTTTTAAGAACATAATTGTATGTTCATTTGCACATAATGATACTGATATTTAGTTAACATAAACCTTTATAATCTAGAAAATAATGGTCTATTTGGTTTCCAGTCGGAATTGGAATCGAAATGGTTTATTCCTATAATCTATTTAGTTTAGACATGGGGTGTCAATTGGATTGGATTTAGTCTAATTCGATCTAGTCCAATGTGAGTCTATTACAAATGGATCAGGTCCAATCCAATCCAATGAATGTTTTGGACCATTTTGGACCGATCCAATTTAATGTCTAGATTGTCCAATCTGTTAAAATTCGTTTTAATTTAGATTGGTTTCAACCCTAATCCGGTCCATTGATACCTATATGCTTATCTTATATCAATGGATTAGATATCGGCTTAATCCAACCCAATCCAATATAAATTTGTTACCGATGGACCGGGTCCAATCCAATTTAATAAATATTTTGGACTGGATTGGTCCAATGCAATATGTCTTGTTAGTCCATCCAAATCCCCCAAATTGATTTTGGACTGGACGTTAGTCCAAAATTGGTCCATTGACACCCTTATTTAGACAAGAATCAAAATGGGATTTTAAATCATTGGGAATGAGATTTCATTCCCGAGGGAAGGGAGGGAATTGTTGTTCCCTCAAAATGAGGAAATGCCATTCCACCAAGAATGAGAATGGGATTCCAATTCCATCAAATCAAATAGTTGGAATCATAATGGACTATTTTGATTATGATTCTAAACCCCTATTCTTATGAACCAAACTGGTCTTAGATATATTTGGCAAAATTGCAAAAGGTAGCAGACAAGTTTGGCTAGCTTGAGTTGAATCGGAATTCAAACGGAATTAGTTTTTACTTTTTAGGGTTGGGGTTCAAATTAGGGCTAATCTCAACCGAACCCAACCCGGCCCGAGTTGACTCATAGTACTTTCCCATGGGGTTCAGATTAGGGCTGAAATGGGATATTATTATGGTTTTTTTAATGGGTTCTACCAAGAATTCTATTTAGATTTCCTTCACCGCTGTTGGTTTTGTTGCAAGTGGACGCCAAAACAACAGTCCGGATCTCCTGCCCACGAGAACCTTGCCCATGTTTACTCACAACACACTACCCCAGTGAATTGAGAACATATCTCTTGCATAATACTATACACAGGATGAGATATTCTCCATGTGTGACTGCTATAAACGTGGGCAGGAGATCCAGACTCCCAAAACAAAGAGCTCCGTAGTCGGTATTTGGACCAACCGCAACCGTTTCCAACTTTGTCTGTAGTGCATCTCGATCCTCACCGTCGTCGTGGGGAAAAGTGTAGGTATTCAATAGGTTTCCGATGCAGTCCGTAGGCTTGGCTCATATGTAACGTAGGCCCTAACGGTGTATGTAACGTTAGGGTTAGAGGTTACACTTTAGAGGAAGATGTCTATGTTTTTCGGAAAAAATACAAACTTGACGGTTGAGTCACGTCAAGACTCAGCTATCTATGTTGCCACGTGTCATTGACGATTAATTTATGAATTTTGCCACGTGTCATGGCAGCAAGGAGCGTGGTGGTCTTCATGCTACGCGTTACCTGCGGAGCGCACAAAAATCATTCATATCTGGAATGGAAGGTAATAACTTCGTTTCACCAACCTTTCCGAACTACCGAAGGCACAGTCGCACAGAGAGAGAGAGAGTATTTCCTATTTCGTATTTTGTGTATTGCGTTACGTTTTGTTTCGATTAGTTACTTAATTTTTCGTCTACCAACCACTCTTCTCTATCAGTCATTCGTTTTCTCTAGTTCTTTTTCCTTGCGAGCTACCGTTTATGTTATCGTCATTTTTTTTCTTCTTTCTAAATTTACGGTATTTACACTTTTGGTTTTTTTCCTTGATTCCTCTAACGCTTGAGCATTCCATTAGATGCTGTTCGATTTCCGGGCATCTGGAGCTGAAGTCTACTCCGGTTTCTGATCGAACCAGAGTGGCTTCTATTTTGGTCTCCAATGTTTCGCGTTCTACAGAGTACAGACGTGAAAAGCGAAAGTGGTTCATGCTGTTGTTTTTAGTGTCTTGCCCCTCCTCCCCTGTAAGCTGTAGGGTTTCTTTTGCAAATGCAGATTCGGAGAACCATGGCTAACTACTAACCTCCCCTCGTTTTTATTGTTGGGGGCTTATTCAGTTTCGTTTCTTATGTATATTTGGTTTGCTTCTCTGGGATTTGAGAAATTTCGAGCTTGGTTGGGTTCGCCGGAAAGATGGCGTATAATGCCGATGATGCCGTGGGTCCAGAACTGAAGCTGCAAGTTGGGGAGGGAAACGGGGATTATGTGAGATTGGAATGCTCGAATAACTGCCAAGTGAATGAATTCAAAAGGACGGAGCCTTCATCTTCTATTAAGTGCAGATCGTTATGGGGCAGATCATTGTGGTGGTGGGCGAAGGTGATTCTAGCGGGCATTTGTGTGGGGTTGCTCTCCGCAGCATGTCTCATTTGGGTTGTCCCTTTCGTCCTCGATAAGGTTGGTTGTTATTGCAAATAAATTATATTTTGGTGTGGCTTTGTTTTTTTAAGTCAAGTATTTCCTCTGATTATATCTCTGAGATAGCCCAGGAAGTAGCTTTTGTATGCCTTATAATTGTAACTGAGGATAGTTTTGCTGAAGTATAAAAACTTTATCTGATTTTCTTGTCGGTACAAAAATTTAGAAATTAAATAAACCTATTGTTGTTCTTGTTTTGCCGGTATTACTTGTCCAATTTTTGGTGCAATTCTTGATAGTTATGCGGTTGCATTGGGCTAGCCAAATTGGGTTATTCATTAGCTTTTTTTCATTCAGTATTGCTAATGCCAAGTTTTTGAATTTGGAGTTCATGAATTACTTTCCCAATCTTATACACCTAGGTAGCGGTCAACTCTATTTATTGGATAATATGCAGTATTTCTTTTTTTCCTATATTTTGGCCACGGATCAGAACCCTTAAGCGCAGTTTGGAAGGAGTACAAATACAAATATGTAGAGTGCAAAACCTTGTGTTTTGTATGTATTTGTACTGTACATATTTGTATTTGTACTCTTTTCAAACTGATCCTTATCGATTCATATGCTTGTCTTACTGGTATTACTAAGATAATGGCATGTTGTTTTGACTTTTGAGAATTTGTTGTTACTTGTTAGCTCGGTGTTAAGGGTGCTCATGGAATTCGATTCAAGTGTTTATGAATAACCAAGAACCATTCTTTTGGAAATTAGCATGTAACATTATGTTGGTTCTACTACACCGTGTCTCTACTTCTTTCGACACATAATGGATGGAAAGATTTTCAGGCCGAAATATTTCAGCTATTTCTTTTTGCTCCCTTCAAAGCAAAAAACTTTGTTTTTGTCAAAACAAATTGGAAAGGGCTGAAAACAATTTTAGCTGTAGAAAGGTAGAAAAAATAGCTGAAATATCTTGGAAATTTCTACATCTATTTTTAAGGAGAAACAAGCACAGCCTATGCAAGTTTAATTGGGATTTTTAAAGGACTTCAAAGCAGTGCTTAAAAGGTGCCTAGTCCTACACTCACAAGAAGCAAAGCTTAAGGAAAATGTCCTGACTCATTAGGCTCAACCTGGGAGCTTCATGCTTAAAGGTACAAGGCATATGCCGACATATATCACACTTTGAGATGACATATTCAAGAAAATGCATTTCATATATTAATTTGAAATGTATCTCTCAACCAAGCCTACGTTAAATACCAGTTCTAACATTTTCATCTGTATGCAATTTGTTTAGCCTGAGTTTATTTAATATTCTTGGGTGATTTAGAGTTTTCAATTCCAATTGAGCTTTTACTTACATCACGAGCTTTCTTATGGTCTTTGAAGGATTTGCAAGGATGCAATTATTTTTTTTAAAGCTCTTAACACACATATGGTCCTTATCTATAGGAGGATAGCATCTTCTTATAAAAAGAATAGATCTAATGAAGCTTGAGCCTCTCTCCTTGAAGCTTATGCCTCATTCAATAGAAGCTTCTAGTGTTTTACCTCAGACCTCTGCTTCTTAAAAGTTTGCTCAAAATAATCATGTGCTAGTTTTTAAGTTGTATATTCTTAAATGTTGCAAGTACATAGAAAGTTATTTGGAAGTATATAATGTAGTTAGTTCTATATTGGAAAATTTGGCATTCCCACCTTATTCTATTTCTCTCTCTCTCTCTTTTCTCTCTTTCAATACCTTGTTCTATTTCTCTTAGCTGGAGTGAGTTATGAATCTAAGTAGATCGGGCATTTGTCCTTGAATTGCTAAAAGTTTATATACCTTAAATCCAGAAGTCTCATTTGACAATTATTGGTATTTATTTGCTATGTTTCAAAGTTGTGTTATTGGACCATGGATGATATGTAGTTGGTATCTGGTAACCATTTCTCAATATCAAAACTAGTTTTTGGATGCTTAATGTTTGTTTCAACAAATTGCAATAGAAAGTGTTTTCTATATATTTTTTTTATTCCTTTAATTCTTTCTTTGTTTCTGCATTTTTGATGATTCTCTGATTTGTGATGTTTGGCAGGAAATTTTCCCAATCTTGGACTGGGAGATGGCAACATTCAGTCCACCTGTGCTTGCGGTTATACTTTTTGCTTCTGTGGCATTATTTCCTACCCTATTGTTGCCATCTACACCTTCTATGTGGGTGGCTGGGATTACGTTTGGATATGGTATTGGGTTCTTGCTAATCATAGCAGGGGTGTCTGTGGGTGTATCATTGCCATATTTTATTGGTTCTTGCTTTCATCATAAAATCCAAGTCAGTACCGTTTTTTTTTTTTTTAATTTTGTTTTCTTTATTGTCTACAATCTAAGTTAGTATCTTCAAACCAGATCTTTCTTTCTGTTCTTTCTCCTTTTTCTTTTTTTTTTTTCAATTGTAATTATGTTAATTCAACACTATATATGGTTATGCAGAGGTGGTTAAAGAAATCACCGAAGAGAGCTGAATTTATAAGATTAGCTGGTGCAGGAGATTGGTTCCATCAGTTTCGAGCAGTGGCCTTACTGAGGATTTCTCCATTTCCATATCTTATTTTGAATTATGCTGTAGTTGCAACAAACATCAAGTATGGTCCTTACATACTGGGGTCATTGGTAGGAATGGTACCTGAAGTTTTTGTTACAATTTACAGGTATGACCTTTAATGCTCCATCTAAATGATTTTCAGTATAAAATATTTAGCCAACAAATTTTGCATATAGTCAAGTGGAACAAAAATCCTATCCTGATCTGATAACATGGACACTCCATTGTTATAAGTTGATAAAGGTAACTCCATTGTTATAATAGCTCAATGGCCTATTTGTAATTTTGTGCACTCTTCTTGTCATTTCATCTTTCAGCCAACCCCTTAAATTCTACTTTGGTAACTGTATGCTGCAATTCTTTGAGTCTGTGCATTTAAGGAAACGGTTGATGCATTCTTCTTGGTCAAGTTTCCAGATTTATCTTTCCTATAGAACCTCTTGTATAAGTTCATGACTGTATCTGTTGGTTCTGTTATGCAACTGAATGTACTCATTTATGAGTGAAATATTGTTTAATGATGCTTCTCTTTGATCTCTATAAAGATACATTCTTACTTGGCTGTGATTCATTTTTTTTTCCCTTTACCATAATTCTTATTGGCAGATTTTAGGCTAGGTAGCTTACACAATGTTCCACCAGTTTAGTTGTAAAACATCCTTAGTTTAGAAACTGCAATTGGAGCAGTCTGAAAGTGCCCTATGATTTGATCATAACCTTTGATTGATTGATTTATGTTCTGTTTTTGGAGTGTCTAAAGGACCTTGTACTAGGATTACATTCATCAAGCTGAGAAATTTAACCTCATAACACAATTTAAAGCTTTTGTATATGGAGCTTAAGGTAGCATAACATTGTAGTGCTCCAGAGTTGATCTTGGTTTTGAGAACCATGAACTTGCTAATCTCCTTTACACTTTTCTTACCATCACCTCCTGTTAGGTCATATTGTCTCTTATATGGTTAATGATAGATCAAGAACTTTGTTGATCAGTAACACCCTAAAATAGGGAACCACTGAGGTGTCCATTTTTTATGATTTTGGTGTCATTAATCGAATTGAGACCAAGGTGTTGAAAATTTCACATGTGTTGGAAGAGCCATGGCCATTTTATTAGTAGGGTGTCAATGTACTAAAGTATTTCAATCTTTCTAAATTTATGGCCTATATTGGAGTTGCTTTTTATTGTTTAGTTGTAGTGGGGTTAATAGAGGGTTATTAGAGTCTAATTCCTTGTCCAAGTGTCCTTATTGCTTATGAGTTTGTTTTTGTTTTGAAGTAATTGAGAGATGTTTTTGTTCAGTTTCCTAATTGAAATTAGACTTTGTAAAGGGAGACCTATATAATTATGCTAGGCCTAAGTAGAGTTATGGTAAATGAATTTTTAGAAGAACAATGATGAAATGACATGGTTTGAAGATTATGAAGCTTGTTTGGTGCCAAAGATTGGTTTTCTTAGAGATTTTTTCCTCTCTCCCTAAAGGTTCTGTTAAAACTGTTAATACTTGGTGTATTATTGGCCGCAGGGGTACTGTGTTTTTTTACTTAATTTTATTGTTTATTTATGTTGCCTTAGTATATTATAGAAACCTGGTGCTGCCAACCAAGATTTTTTGCCTCTCCAATCTCAATTTCTTTCCTCTCTTTTGAAGTCCAGATTCCAATTAATCCCATTTGGACCAGGAGTTCCCAAATTACATACAGTTTCCCCTTTAAGGTTTGACAAAGTATAGAGATCAAGAAAAAGATCTTTAAGCCGGATTTCTCCCACCCAAAGGTTTTCCCAGAAATGAACTTTATTGCCCTGTCCCACATCAATTCGAATGGAATTAAGGAAGGTAGGGTAGATTTCATGAATTGCTTTCCAAGGAGAAGCTTAAGAAACATGAGGGGCCACTTTTGCATCCCAACCATTTCCATTCAACCCATGAATAATCTCAATGACTTTGTGCCATAGTCTATCCCTCTCAAAAGAGAATCTCCAAAGCCACTTTCCTAACACAGCCGAGTTCCTAAGTGAAAGGTTTCCTATTCCCAAACGCCCTTGATCCTTGGGCTTTCTAACTTGTTCCTAATTAATCAAGTGAACCTTCCTCTCCTCTCCTGGGTCTCAGAGGAAATCTCATGTATTTCTCTAAGCTCCTTGCTATCCTACAGGGTATTCTAAAGGTTGAAAGGAAGTAAATAGGGAGGTTCGCCAAAATGGCTCTAATCAAGGTTATCCTTCCACCTAGAGAGATATAATTCATCTTCCACAGAGCTAGCTTCCTAGCAAATCTTTCAATGACTGGCTTCCAGAACCCTTCTGATCTAGGGTTTCCTCCTAAAGGTAGACCCAAGCAACTAATTGGCCAACTTCTAATCTCACACCCCAAAATCTCAACGAATCAATGGAATTCCCCTTCCTCCAGATTAACCCCTACAAAGTTGCTATTGGATAACTTTGTGAGGATTGCTACCACTTATTGATTTCTTGTTCCTTTGCTGCAACTCTGTGGAATTGGATGTTTGTTTTGTTTGAATGTAGGTGGAACCAGCCAACAGAAGTAAAATTGTTATTTAATCCATCTACCTTTTGTTTGGCCAACAAAAAGAGGGAGAAGCATGCAGAGATGTTTTAGATCAGCCACTTTGTGGACCATTTGGGAAGAATGAAATGCTATAATTTTTCAAGACAAGGGGAGATACTTTTCAGTAGTGAAGGAATGTATTTTAACTAGGGCTATCATTGGCTGAAATCCCTAGATTCCTTCAATTCCTTCTCTGGAGGATTTACTAAACTGAATTTTGATGGAAGCAATCAAGGCAATTCAGGACCATCTGGCATAGGAGGGATCCTGAGGAATGGGGATAGCAACATTATATCCTTGTTTTCAGGCCTAGTGGGAATAGGGGATTCTACAAGGGGCTGACTTATTGGCTGTAGTACAAGGGATTCAGATTGCCAACCAACTTGGAGTGGAGAAATTATTAATTGAAGGGGACTCTAAAGTGATTGTGGGCTGGCTATTGAATCAAGATTCAATCATTTGGAGTTATAGCCTTATAGGAATCTTATAAAAAGGTCAAGTGCTTAACAACATGATAATTAGAGTCCAATGGGTGGGTAGGTCGGCAAATGCTTTGTAATGATTATTTTGTGCAGCTTTGTAATCTTTTTGTTTGATCTCTCGCAATGATTAGGAGAGGCTGCACCTTGTGCCTCTCTAAGGGATGCTTGTAAAAGTCTTATTCTATTTGATTAATGAAACTAACTTTCAATTATCAAAAAAATATTTGAGAAGGAAGAGATAATTTGGCAAATCTGATGAAACAAGTGCAACTGTTGCCAAGGAAGCATAAAATGAGATTGAAGAGATTGGATGGCTAACTTCAAGTTTGAGGAAAGTTTTGACTAAATTTGGGTTCGGGGCTAGATGGTGTAAGTGGATCATGGGTTGTGTCCGGAATTGTCATTACTCAGTGCTAGTGAATGGGACAGTGGTAGACTTCTTTCCAACCAGTAGGGGTATAAGACAAGGAGACC